TTTTGAAAGTAAATCGTACAGCTAGTCGTACTGTACTCACTTTTTTGGGGCCGGTATGTGTGAATCTGGCTGAAGGATGAGATCTATCCGCAGAGGTTTAGAGTGTTTACCTTTCTTGACTGTCGTCTCTAATAACAAAAACAGCAGTTATGGATTGCACAGGGAAAAAACTGTTAACTTAGTAAAGAGAGGAGGTTTTACACTCACGTGCTTGAGTATCTTTTTCATCTGCTTCACCAGTGTCCACAAAGAAGAGAGAGTCATCTGTTTTTTCAGATATCAACCCCCTTATATATATATATAAAAAAACACATTCCTAAATTCCTATTCTTCTTCTTCTTCTTCTTGGTTTAATGACGAGTTGCAATCTTTGCGCATATCACCACCTACTTTATCTTTTATTATATTAGTTGTTCTGTCTCAACTCTGAAGCCATCACGAGTCCAGGTATCGGTTGGCGCTGCGTGTTCAGCTCCTCCGTACTCCACACTGAACCCCTTAGAAAATTCCTTTCCCTTGAATTCGCCATATTAACATTAAAATTTCATTCATTAAATCTTCTCTAGATGACTGGTGGCTGGATAATGAAGTTAAGACAGAAGCAGAGTCTGAGCAAATCACAGCTCTGTCTGGTGTCACTTCCTCTACCCACAACAGAATATATTGATAATTCAGATGATAATCTTTTACTTATGAATTTATCCAAGTCAGGGATATATGTTCCTGCTCCTGTCATCAGGGGCGGACTTACCCATTAGGCAAAGGTAGGACACCGCCTTGGGCCCCCAAAAGCCAAGGGCCCCCTAAAATGCTTTTCATATAGGATATGTGCATTAAGCGCGGACGGTTGCTGTTTACGGTGTTTATTACCACGACAGCCGTCCGAGTCAGTGGCGGCCGCAGGTGTACAGCACTGTGAGTACCGTGAGCGCTCAGACTGACCTGAGATTTGCCCCGCAAACATTTCAGCAGTTATTATAGGCCTGTGTGTCCCGTATTTCTGTCGACTGAACCCATGCCATTAATTATGAATTGATCAGTCTTTTGCATGCCAAAGTCAATTTCTGGATAGAAATATTACGCCAAATAGAAGCAGAAAATCGTGCTATACGCACTTTCATGAGATCGGCTTAGCCTACAACAATTAATTTGTTGGCTATTTTACAAATGGGAATACAACGAATTCATGACAATGTTTACATTCAAGCTACCCGTAAAATTTATAGTGAAAAGTGCTTTAAAAGCGTCTGGAATGCAATAAAGTCATTTTAAAGCTGTTTTTTAAAGCATTTGCTGCATGGATAAAAACTATAAATAATTAACATATCATACAAAATTGCGTTGCAGCAAATCCTTTCAATTTTAAGGTATTCAGAACAGAGCAACATAAAAATCAGAAAAAGCAGCAATACAATTATAGGACAAAGTTTTACATATATGCCGTTATATTTAGTGTTTTATTTTTTAGCTGTACGGAATTATAAAATAAAACGCAAATTATAATCGGGCCTTCCATCAATGATAGTGATGAAAAAATGACTCGCCATCTCCTAATTGGATGTGCCTTTAGAGAGAAATGCACAGATTACATAATGAAAGAGTTTATTTTATTAGGAGTCTATTTTCGTTTTAAAGTAGTAATTTAAAGCTTTCTATATATTTTGATCATGTCTGAGTTTAGGTT